TCTTCTTCTTATAGACGCAAAGGCATGGAAAAATTTCGTGTTCCTGTCGCCATCTTTGAACCACTTGAGGCGCGATTTTTAAAGCCATTCCCTTTCACCTCTTCTTAATTTGTCCCACATTGCAGTTCTGCACGCTTGTAGTTCGCTTCGAATGTTCAATGAGTTTTGAGATGATAATAATTCTGCTTCCAATTTGGATTGTTTCTCTTCGATATCCTTCAACAATTTACTCTCTCTTTCTTTGAACTTGTGACCCAAATTTTGGTTGCAGACTCGACGTCTTTCAGTATGTTCACCACACCAACTCCTTGTTTACCTTCTATAGATCGCTTTACAACCTCCATAAACTCAGCTTCATCAGCCCAATGTGAAAAATACTTAAACGGACGAGCACCCCCACCAAGTCTTTCTTCTTTCAACAAAACATGATTATGGTTTGACACTCCTCTCGAAAGAGAGCTTTGAATGACCGACGGGGCAATCCAAACACAGCAAATAAGCTTAATTTAGCCAAAAAAAATTACAATAAACAAAATTTATATGCTAAAAATAGTGTGAAATATATATTATATATTTAGATTATGCATAAATTAAAAGATATTTACAATAAAATAACGTTTGTGAATAAATTCTATATATAACTATATTATTATTAAAATTGAAAATATTAGTAAATTATATTCATGAATATGGATATTGTAGCATCAATATAAATCAAGGAGACGATTGTATTTTTGAAAACTTTAAATTCATATATAGTTTAGGTATTTCTTTTATATTTCGAATTAATTATCAAATTTTATTCGAAAAATCTTAAAAATATAATTTAACTTACTTGATAAAAAAATAAAATTGTGAAAAAACAATATTTATAATTAATCCTATAAATAATTAACATAAATTAAAAATGCTGATTAAATCTAAGAAGTGGAAAACCCTTGTAACACAAATATACATATATCATTCCATCATAGTGGAATTACGGAGTAGGTTACTCTCTTAAAAGGTAAATATATTTTTGGATTAATATTACATTTTGTGCTCAAACTTTACACTGTTCCTTGATTTAGCATTTGACTTTTTATTTCTTTCAATTTGGTGTCAAAGTAGACAAACGTAACACAAATTGTCCCAATAATATAATGTAATTTGTATAATTGATGTTTGTTAATCTAAATGTCGAGTTGGAAGAAAGTATCAAATATCAAATTAAAATAATCTTAAATAATAAATTAAATCACATAGTATCTAGGGATGAGCATGGGACCTGAACACGACGGGTTCTGTAACATCCCAAACTACGGGTTAATGACTAAATTGTAAAAATTTCAGAATATGGTGATTAAAGTAGAATAGTTGAATAGTTTAATGATTTATGTGGAGATATTTCCTGAAAGTTATTAGTAAATATTAAAGGAGTCAAAGGGCAAATAAGTAATTGAACAAGGAAAATAATTAAATAATAATTAATGGGTATTATAATACCCATGTGGATAATGACTGAAGAGATAAGCTTCAAAGCAATTATCTTCTTCATCTTCTTCTCTTCTCCACGTGAAAACTCAAAGCAAAGGTGAGTTCTCTAATTTCTTGATTGTTTGTTGATTTTAAGCATGAGTTTTGATCCTTAGAGGATAACTAAGCTTAAGGAAAGCTTAAGTTATCTTAAAATCAAAAGATGAAGAAGTTATAAGAGATTTAAGAAAATGAGTTTTTATATGAAATCATGGAATAGAGTTGATAAGTTGAATTTTAAGTTGAATTTGACTTGTCATCTATGAGAATAAGAAGATAGAAGTGTTAGAATTGTATTTAGAACATATGGAAAATTGGGTATGATTCTTGAATTTCATATGAAGGATAGGATTTTGAAGTCATAGAGGATTTTCATGGATATAAGTTAGTTTAAGTAATGGTAGTTGAGTTTAATGACATGGTAGGGGTTTAATATAGAAGAATTGAATGAAAAATTGATGATTTTCGAGCTTAAAATACAATTTCTGGGTAGAGGGAACCGATACCCTATGAATGGGAATCGATTCCCCCTCTTGAACGAAAAATTCCAGTATGTTCAGGGGGTATCGATTCCCCTGGGGGGTATCGATTCCCCCTAAATGAAAATATAGAATTTGATTCATTAAACCGGTTTAAGTTATTAACATCAAGTTTAAAGTTTAGGCTTCTGATAGTTGTTTTGAAATGATATATTTATATAGATATTGAGCCTAAACAAGTTCCGGAATAATCAAAGGATTATAATCGAATCAAAGCAAGGCTAAGGTGAGTGCAATTTAAATTGTACTTATGTGATTGATCAAACATTGGCTTGCGATGAGTCAATGATAGAGTTACTATGGTAAGAAGTAACTTATAAAATGTTATGTGATTACTATGTGTGCATTAGTACATAAAAATGGATGTATGTTTATATATTACATGATTTACATGCTTACGTGAAAATGCAACATATGATATTAGATATATGTTTACACATACATGTGGTATGTGACAGAAGAGAAGGAACATGTGATTAGGAGATCAATGATTACACGTACATGTGATACGTGATTGAAAAGAAAAGATATGTGTTTATAAGAGAAAGAATATGAATAAGTAATGTGAACTGTTATAAATGATAATGCCCATGTTATGTGATATGAGAGCTAGGGGTATAGTTGGCATGCCAAGGGTTGAGGGTTTACCTATGTTCTTCGGGATATATGGACTGTTTACCTATGTTCTTCGGGACATATGGACTGTTTACCTATGTTCTTCGAGACATATGGACTGTTTACCTATGTTCTTCGGGACATATGGACTGTTTACCTATGTTCTTTGGGACATATGGACTGTTTAACTATGTTCTTCGGGACATATGGACTGATTACCTAGGTTCTTCAGAATCTATGGACTGGTCCTTCGGGACATTTATACGAGCTGTTGTGACAGCATAGTGGTGCACAACCTCAATGTACTCACATACCTTAAGTTCTCAAAAGTATACATGGGCTAATACATGGTCTTTACAGAGAGTAAATAAATAAATTGATTTGCTACTATGTATGTTTTGTTGTGAAGTAGTATATGTATTCCATGGTATGTAGAGAAATGTTCGTTATATATATACTTATACGATAAAAAGGTATTAAAAGTACTTGTATTATCTTATGTTATCATGTATACTGAATTATATGCGACACGATTGAATTCATAGATTGAATGTTTATATTTATGAGAAATGCATTATTATTATGTTTTGCTTCACTAAGTCTATGACTTAGCGTGTAAGTGATTTACACGTAGGTACTGAGAAGCAGAAGGATCAAAGCTAAGTTCAAAGTAACAACATATCTCTGTTCAAAGATCAGATCAGAAGTAAATTACACAGTATGTATTATTACGTGATAATTAGGTTGGCATGTAAATAAAGTAGGTAACTTAGGTATTTATGCTCTGATCGAGTTTTGTAATATTTTAAACATATTTATATAAGTATAAATGCAAAGAAATGAACGGTTAAATTATTACGAGTATTATGTACAATTTACGAAAATCACTGTAACAGGTTATTGTAGTACTGTTCATATCGTATTTCACCGTTCATAAACACGTTTTTATCTCAAATTTTTATACCAAACACAATTGAATAATATATGATTGTATTTTCTTAATATAAATTCAAATGTTCAGTTATTTTACAAGAATAAAGGTTTTAAAAATGTCAATGTGACATCTCGGACTCGTATCCAGGTCGGGTACGGGTTTGGGTGTTGCAGGTTCCAACCCGACCCGATCAGGTCGGATTTTTTTGAAAAAAAACGGGTTCGGGTCGTTTTTTTTTTGTGATGTTCGGGTTGGATTCGGGTTTATGGTGAAAAATACCCCTACCAGACCCAACCCGAAAAATACAATTTACCTTATATATTTAGAAATAATTACAATAATACCCCTCTATATATTATTTTTTTAATTAAGTCACTGTTTTTATTGAATAAAAATATAATTTGTCTGGTCGGGTCGAATCTCGGGTGGAGGACTCATTGTTCTTAGATCGGATCGGGTGGATGAAAAACCCGACCCATGCCAATCCATAATCAAATTAATTGTCAGTCCTTTTACTGAAAATGTCGATGAGTAATGAATTTTCATCCTAGGTTGCCTACTTTTTTACACGCATCACATGCCTATGCCTCTTTCCAAAACGGCAAACACAGCAAATAAGGTTAATTTACCAAAAATAAAAATAAAGTAAACTAAGTTCATGAATATGGATATTACAGCAACAATATAAAATTAGGATAAAATTAAATAAAATATTTCTCATTTTATTTATGTCATGTTATATTATTATTTATCTTCATTCTATTATCATTCATGTTGTTTTTTATCATTTTGATTTTGTTGTTTTGTCATTAATATTTATTGTATTGTTATTTATATTTGTTTTAATTTTTATTACATTATATTAACATTCACCTTCATTATATAAAAATATATTTATTAATAAAAGATATAATTGTTTATTCATCTAATGTCATAGTCTTTTTACTAAAAACGTAAATGAATAATGAATTGCATTGGTTCATTCTTCACCTACTTTTTTACACACATCACATGCATCTTTCCAAACCCGCTAACACTGTATGGTTCATTTTATTACTGTTCAAGTTCGTTCTGGTCTTTGCTACGCTGTATGGTTTATATTACCATTCCTATTCGTTTCCGTCTCTGTGATGTTGTATTATCATTCACTTAATCACCTAATCATTTTTGTTCCAGTCTTGGCCACGCTGTATTATCATTCATCTTCATTACATTACCATTCATGTTCGTTACAATTCATATCACGTTTATTGTTATCCGTCTTGATTAATGTGAAAATCTGAAAATGGTATTTATTTTTAAATTAAAAATATATTCATTTATAGAAGGAACAGTTGATTTCTTGAAAATCAAGATTATTCAGCTGTTCTCTTCTCTTGTGCCTCAGAACAAAAGCCATGGAAGCGGTTGACATGGAGATGGACACTTCCCAACAAAACTCTTCTGATCCTCTCTTGTTTGCCAGAAGGTGGTTCCTTCTCATCTCTTCTCTTTTCATAGTTCACCTGACGATGAGGGATAAAAGTTTCTTCCTTTTCTCTTTATTCTGTGCTCTTGTCACCCTTGGTTAAATCAAGAAGTACGAAAGTTCAAAGCTGTGATGTTTTTTTTTCTGCATTTGATTGTTTATGAAACAGCTACCAGGTCGAAGCACTAGAGAAAGCTATCAACCAAAACACGATAGCTTACTTGGAAACCGGCTCCGGCAAGACACTGATCGCCATCATGCTTCTCCGATACTACGCCTGCCTTATTCGGAAGCCTTCGTCCTTTTTTGCCGTCTTCTTGGTTCCCCAAGTAGTCCTGGTTAAACAAGTATGCGCCAAATTACATGTCCATTTTTGTTCATACCATTACTAGAAAACCAGGAGAACAGTGTGGTTTTATTCGAGTATGACAAAATAGTGTTTTTGTTCTCATATTGTGAGCTCTGCATAACATATTTGAGTTATGTGTATTGATGTTAGTGTTTTCCTTTTTTGGCAAAAGCTTTGATTTGTTGTTTCTCTCATTGTTTTACATGATGATTAGCAAGCTGATGCTCTGGAAATGCATACGGACTTGAAAGTGGGCAAATACTGGGGAGACATGGAGGTCGACTTTTGGGATGGTGCGAAATGGAACCAAGAATTCGAGACATATGAGGTGGGGTTTCTCTATATGCATCGTTTAGTCGATCATGGCTGTGATGCAGGGCAACTCAGGAATGGATGCATGATTTTGTGTCGCATGATGCTAATCTAAGAAATTATATTAGAAATTCAGGGGTACGGAATTACAAAATTTAGGGAGATTTGAGTCTAAAATGGTGGTACTTAAAAAATGGATCTTTATGGTACAGCTAGTGAATGAGCAGGCTCAAACCCATTATTAACTTTATTGCACTAAAAATGGGTTTGAGCCTACTGATTCACTACCATGGGAGCATTTTTCTTTCGTTCTTACATGTTTTACATGCAGCTAGCAATGCATGTCTTTCTTACAAACAGGTGCTTGTTATGACGCCTCAACTTTTACTCAATGGATTGCGCCATGGATACTTCAAAATGAACATGATAAAGGTACTCATAATGGATGAATGCCACCATGCCAAAGGAATGCACCCTTATGCTTCCATCATGAGAGTGAGTTCTCTTTCTCTTCACCATGCATTGCTGGACATGTTTTATGTTATTACATATAGGTAACTAAATATAATTCTATATATATAATCCAGTTATGCTTGAGGATTTATCTTCATTACAGGAATTCTATCATCGTCATTCGGAAAGCGGTGTATCTAACCTTCCTAGGATCTTTGGGATGACTGCTTCCCCTATTAACACAAAAGGTGATTCATTCAAGTGTTCATGTTTATTGGTTACTTGTGTTCCTATTTTATATTATTTGAACATCTTACCCTTCTGCATTATTCTAGGGGAAAGATCGGCTGATGGCTATTGGAGGAAGATCCATGAGCTGGAAACAATCATGAATTCAAAGGTTGAATTTTTCATTTCTGTTTTTATGGGCCTGTTCTCATTTCAGTTTTCCTCCATTGAAGGTATATACATGTACAAGTGAATCAGTACTTGCTCAGTTTGTTCCATTTTCGACTCCAAAGTTCAAGTTTTACAAGCATATGAAAATACCAAATGACATGTATACACACTTGGAGAAGGAACTAGATGATTTAAAAGTGAAGGTACTTATATTCTTTGTTCCAACTTTTTGCTACTTTTCTTATCAGGATGATAACAGTAGATGCACTGCTTTGCAGCATGAATGTTCGTTGGACAGTTTGGATCTTGAAGCTTCTGCAGTAACGTCTGCAACGAAAAAGATATCGAAGATACATTCGGTTTTAATATACTGTTTAAACGAGCTCGGTGTCTGGTTGGCTTTTAAGGTACCTATTTCGACGATTAATTGATGTCGCTAATGTACGTAGCGTTGATTCTGTTCATTCTGTAATAGGCTGCAGAGTACTTGTCATGTTCTGAAAATGAGTTTCTTCCATGGGAGAGATTGGAAGTGTGTGCTGAGAAAATTATTAGGAAATTCAGTTCGGATGCTTTCCGTGCAATTAAACCGTGCTTACCATCTGGTACTTGTATATTCCTCATATAGTGAGTTGATGATCGGTTTTATTAATATTTTTCTTAATTGTTTTTCTGTTGTTTTTGATTTCACCATTTAGGTCCAGATTGGACCATTGGTGATGATATTAAAGGCAGCGTGGATGCCGGGTTTCTGACCACAAAAGTTTTATGCCTTACTGAATCTCTTTTCGAATACAGGTAATACAGTTAACATAAAGTTGAATCTCTTTACTCTTCTTTTTGTTATATTCTGTTATGTGCTACGATGCAGGGCGTTGAAGGACATAAGATGTATAATTTTTGTACAACGGGTTTTGACAACCATTGTACTTCAGTCGCTACTGAGTGAATTGCTTCCGAAGTACAGTAGTTGGAAGGCTAAATACATTGCAGGAACTAGCTCCGGATTGTTAAACCAGACTAGAACAAAACAAAATGACATTGTAGAAGAATTCCGTAAAGGGATGGTATGTTCTTACGTCACGTATAGTAGGAAACGATGCTTTTGCTAGCAGCTGCATTTGAATAATGGTATTCCGTTCCTGCAGATTAACATAATCGTTGCAACTTCGATCCTCGAAGAAGGGTTGGATGTCCAATCCTGCAACTTAATAATCAGATTTGATCCTTCATCGAACATTTGTAGTTTCATACAGTCTCGAGGACGTGCTCGAATGCAGAATTCAGATTATCTATTAATGGTGGAGAGGTAATGATCTATATTTATATTTCTAGTGCTACCGTAGATAACTTATAATACCTTAACAGTGGTTCTGGTTTAATTATTGCAGCGGGGATTCGAGAACACTATCTCGACTGCAGGAGTATCTTGCTTGTGGAGAAGTAATGCGAAAGGAATCGTTAAGCCACGCATCCGATCCGTGTTCTCCTCTAACTAACGACTCGTATGATGAAGAGTTCTACCGAGTTGAAAGTACAGGGGCACGTATGACTCCTAGTTCCAGTGTTGGTCTGATACGCTACTATTGCTCACGTCTCCCTGGAGACATGTTAGTAATACTCAGTATTCACTTGTTTTACATTCCAATTAGAGCATCAGTCTCCTTATGTCCGCAGTTTGATGTTATCGCTTCGTTCTCGTGTTTGTTTGTTCTCTCCAGGTACTTTAAACCGAGCCCGAGGTGTGTCGAAGACAAGGAAATGGGGATTTGCACCATCCATTTACCCAAGAGTTGTCCTATACAAATTGGTTCTGTCAAGGGAAATAATAGTAAAAACCTCAAGAAAAAGGCATGCTTTGAAGCATGCAAGCAACTCCATCAAATTGGTGCTTTAACAGATCACCTTGTGCCTGATGTTGTTGAAGAAAAGGATGTGGAAGAAACTGGTAATAACAATCAATGCATGCCTATATTTTATCTTATCTTTAACAATCATGCATGTGATTATTCGATGTAATTATTCTATTCGTAGGGAAGGAACCCTATAATGATGATCAACCTATTTTCTATCCACCTGAGCTGGTTACTCAGGGATCACAGGAGCCACTGGCAAAGTATTACTGCTACTTAATGGAGTTGAATCAGAACTTCGACTGCGAGTTTCCTGTTCATAACGTCGTGCTTCTCTTGAGGAATCAGCTTGAAATGGATGAAAGAAGTGTGGAATTTGAAATGGAAGTTGATAGGGGTGCTTTAACAGTTAACTTGAAACATATTGGATCAATTAGTCTTTATTCGGACCAGATTATAGTGTGTAGAAGGTTTCAGATCGCCGTTTTTCGAGTTCTTATGGACCGTAAAGCAGAGAAGTTGACAGAGATGTTGTGTGACCTTACTTCAGGGAACTCTGACATTGATTTTCTTCTTCTTCCATCAAATTACGTGGACCAGAAACCTGCCATTGATTGGTTCGCAGTTTCTTCTGTCTTGTTTTCTTATGAAAATGTCTGGAATCGTCACAAGAACTGTAATGCTGGTCTGATACAGACCAAAAGTGGCATGTTATGCGCTTGCATGATTGAGAATTCGTTGGTCTCTACCCCTCACAATGGCCATGTCTATATCATCAATGGTTTTCGAAACAATTTAAATGCGAATTCGGTGTTGAAGATGAGTGATGGAAGCGAAATGACCTACAAGGAGTATTATCGACAACGGTAAGCATATTTTTTTATTACTTATGCGAAGAATTGAATTGGAATATGTTAGTAATCCAATTCTGGTGTGACATTACAGGCATGGTATTCGATTACGTTTCGATCAAGTCAGTTTCCTTTCGGCACGAGACATTTTCCCTGTACGTAATCACCTTCAAAGGTGCAGAAAACAGAAGGAGAAAGGCATGTTTTCACTTATCATCTTGTCTTCTACAGATTAGAAAGTTAGCTGTGAATGATTTTGTTTTACTTATTTTGCAGAATCAAGTAATGCATTTGTAGAATTGCCTCCTGAACTTTGTGATGTCCTCATGTCTCCCATATCGATTAGCACGTTTTATTCTTTCGCATTCGTTCCATCGATCATGCATCGGATCGAGTCTTTACTCCTTGCTACCAGCTTGGGAAGGATGATTCATCCGGTTCACTGCGTGCAGAATGTTGCTATTCCAACCATGAAGGTAAGCTGGCATTGTTTCGAATTCGTCGTACAGGAATATTATGTGTTACTCTTTGGTTCGACTTGATTCGACTTAGGTTTTGGAGGCAATTACAACCAAGAAGTGCCAGGAAAGTTTTCATTTGGAATCGCTGGAGACACTCGGCGACTCTTTTCTGAAGTACGCCGTTTGCCGGAAGCTATTCCAAACACATCAAAATCATCACGAGGGCCTTCTCAGTATCAAGAAGGACAGAATCGTTTCAAACGCAGCTCTTTGCTTCCTAGGGTGTAACAAGAAGCTTCCGGTAAATTTTCCTCTACATATGTTTAATTCATCCATGATGAGCCTTTAAATATGCTTCAAAACTCCCCAAACTGCAGGGATTTATCCGCTATGAGCCTTTCGATCCGAAAAGTTGGATGATTCCTGGTTGTCGTTCAGGAATTTATACTTCTTTCAATGAGGAGACGCTTTGCAACTCAAGAAAAATGTATGTTAGTGGGAGAAGAAAGGTGAGAAGTAAAAAGATTGCTGACGTTGTCGAGGCACTTATCGGTGCATATCTTAGCACCGGAGGCGAAGCCGCCGCCTTATCATTTATGAAGTGGCTCGGTATAACTACCGAGGTTCCGGACATACAGGATGAACGACGATTTGAAGTGCAGGCTCAAAATTTTGTTAATGTCCGGTACTTGGAATCACTTCTGAAATATTCATTCAAAGACTCATCTGTGTTGGTGGAATCACTAACACATGGGTCTTACATGCTTCCTGCTATTCCGGGATGCTATCAGGTTAGTCCGGTGATATTCCGCTTTACGATCGACATGTTAAAATTGCATCGTTTCTTCTTTATCGACCGTAACCAATTCTTTTCCGCGCAGCGGCTGGAGTTTCTTGGGGATTCTGTTCTAGACTACCTCATTACTCTGTATTTTTACAACAAATATCCCGGCATCGTGCCGGGATTGTTAACCGATCTGAGGTCGGCATCGGTTAACAACAACTGCTACGCGTTATCGGCCGTCAAGGCCGGGTTGCATAAGCACATTCTCCATGCTTCGCAGAAGCTACACAAGGACATGAAAGAAACTGTCCAAAGTTTCCATGAATCATCGTTGGAACATACTTTTGGTTGGGAATCAGAAAAATCTTTCCCCAAGGTATGTTACTAGATGACAATAACATTTACTATTACATAAGTCATTGTTGTAAACTCTTTTGAATGCGTCTCTACTTAATACAATGCACCAGGTACTCGGGGACGTGATGGAGTCGCTCGCCGGTGCCATACTCGTCGACTCGGGGTACGATAAAGACATCGTGTTCCGGTGTATAAGGCCGCTGTTGGAGCCGATGATCACCCCCGAAACAATGACGGTTCACCCCGTGAAAGAGCTGTACGACCTGTGTCAGAAAGAACATTATGAACTAAGAAAACGGGTCGTCTCACGCGACGATGGCGTTTCTTCGATCACGATCGAGGTCGAAGCGAATGGCAGGGTGTTCAAGCACACATCCACAGCTTCGAATAAAAAGATGGCGAAGAAACTGGCTTCCAAAGAAGTTCTGAAATCCGTAAAGGCGGCTAATTTTAGCTAGCTTGGCTGTATAAAGAAGAAGTATTGCAGGTTGAAATATTTTGAACATGCAAAGTTGAACTTGCAGAACATATGGAGCACATTAAAGTTTGATGTTCGCGTAATTTCCAATTGGGATTGATTATGACTTTAATTTTGGCATCTAAAACAGGTTTCAAATCACGTTCCGAAAACGTGATTTCATCTGTGAAATTACGGTTTCGCCGCCGTCCGAGTTACTCGCTACACCCGTAATAGCACCCAATAATGTCTGCGACAGCCCAATCACGATAAACCCAAAATAAACGAAAATGCGACCGCGATTTGAAAACCGATCTAAAAGGAAATAGTAAATGTTTGATCGCAATTAAGAAGATAATGAATTAATGATAAATTTAAATTTGAATTTGTTAAGTTTGGACATCCAATACACAATTAATGTTGATTTTAAATTTGGATATTTTTATATTTAAATTCTATACCTAGGCCAATAAAAGAAAAAATTCATAAATATTAAAATAAAGGCTTAATACACTTTTTAGTGCCTAAATTACATCTCAAAATACAATCTAGATCCTAAAGAAGTTTTTGCTAACACTATAATCTAGATCTCAAAATAAAGGCTTAATACACTTTTTAGTACCTAAACTACTTCTCAAAATACAATCTAGATCCTAAAGAAGTTTTTGCTAACAATAGGTGCAGGATGTTTCCGGCGTTACACATTTAGGTGACTGGACGATGATGACCCTTAATTTTGATCGTTATCTGACACATGTCACATATATAAAATTTCAAAATTTATTTTAAAAAACTTAATATTATAATTTTAAAAAAACCCAAAAAACTCTAAATTTTATATCTTTTACCGCGATCGGCCACCGTTAGTCCATGACCATCACCATCGACACCATCAGAACCGTCTCACCATTGCGAACCAAACTCAGTCCCCCACCCACTGTAAAACGACACCGATCGTCGTGAAATATGCCGCAAAGGATCCTCGAATTTCTAGGTTTTTCATTATTGTTTTTCAGTGATTTGTCGGCTACAGCCGTCCGTACATTACACGGTCGTCGCCATTGAGTTCCTAATCCTGCTCAGAACAAAGCCCAACCGGTGGTGAGCCTTCGGCGTCGACGGTGGGGGATGGGAGTGTAACATCCCAAACTACGGGTTAATTACTAAATTGTAAAATTTCAGAATATGATGATTAAAGTAGAATAGTTGAATAGTTTAATGATTTATGTGGAGATATTTCCTAAAAGTTGTTAGTAAATATTAAAGGAGTCAAAGGGCAAATGAGTAATTGAACAAGAAAAATAATTAAATAATAATTAATGGGTATTATAATACCCATGTGGAGAATGATTGAAGAGATAAGCTTCAAAGCAATTCTCTTCTTCATCTTCTTCTCTTCTCCACGTGAAAACTCAAAGCAAATGTGAGTTCTCTGATTTCTTGATTGTTTGTTGATTTTAAGCTTGGGTTTTGATCCTTAAATGATAACTAAGCTTAAGGAAAGCTTAAGTTATCTTAAAAATCAAAAGATAAAGGAGTTATGATAGATTAAAGAAAATGGGTTTTTAAGTGAAATTTTGAATAAGAAGGTTTAAATGAATTTGGATGATAAATTTGACTTGTCATATATGAGAATAAGAAGATAGAAGTGTTAGAATTAAGTTTGGATAACATGGAAAATTTGGTATGATTATTGATTTCTATATGCATAATAGAATTTTTGAGGTTTAAGATGAAATAAATAGATATAAATGAGTTTAAAATGTATATTTGAGTTAAGAATATGAAAGGGAATGAAACTTGAAGAATTGAAGTTGAAAGAGTGAATTTTCGTGCAATGAACAGTGATTTCTGGGTAGGTGCATCGATGCATTGATATTTCGAAGCTATTCTGTGTACCGATTCACCCATAGTGCATCGATACACCCCTAAAGGAAAACTGAATTTTTGGGTTCATTAAATTAGCTCAAGTTATTAGTATTGAATTATAAGGTTTAGGCTTTTGAAATTCATCTCGGAAATTATGTTTATGTAGATATTGAGCCTAAACAAATTCTGGAACAATCAAAGAATTAGGATCGAATCAAAGCAAGGCTAAGGTGAGTGCAATTTAAATTGTACTTATGTGATTGATCAAACATTGGCTTGCGATGAGCCAATGATGGATTTACTATGGTAAGAAGTAATTTATAAAACGTTATGTGATTACTATGCATGCATTAGTATATAGAAATGGATGTATGTTATTATATGTTTACACATACATATGGTATGTGACAGAAGAGAAGGAACATGTGATTATAAGATCAATGATTACACGTACATGTGATACGTGATTGAAAAGAGAATGTATGTGTTTATAAGAGATAGGATATGAATAAGTAATGTGAATTGTTATAAACGATAATGCCCATGTTATGTGATATGAGAGCTAGGGGTATAGTTGGCATGCCAAGGGTCGAAGGTTTACCTATGTTCTTCGGGGCATATGGACTGTTTACCTATGTTCTTCGGGACATATGGATTGTTTACCTATGTTCTTTGGGACATATGGATTGTTTACCTAGGTTCTTCGGAATCTATGGACTGGTCCTTCGGGACATTTATACGAGTTGTGGTGACAGTATAATTGTGCACAACCTCAATGTACTCACATACCTTAAGTTCTCAAAAGTATACATGGGCTTATACATGGTCTTTGAAGAGAGTAAATAAATTAATTGATTTGATACTATGTATGTTTTGTTGTGAAATAGTATATGTGTTCCATGGTATGTATAGAAATGTTTGATATATACTTATACGATAAAAAGGTATTAAAGTGTTTGCATTATCATATGTTATCATGTATACTGAATCATATGCGATATGATTGAATTCATAGATTGCATGTTTATATTTATGATAAATGCATTATTATTATGTTTATGTCTCACTAAGTCTATGATTTAGCGTGTAAGTGTTTTACACGTAGGTACCGAAAAGCATATAGATCCATTATAAGCTCAGCAGAACAACATATCTCAACTTGAAGGTCAGATGAGAAGTAAATTAGATAATATGTTTTACCATGCGATAAATAGGTTGGCATGTAAATGAAGTAGGTAAATTAAGTATTTATGCTCTGATCGAGTTTTTGTAATATTTTAAACGTATTTATGTAAGTATGAATGCAAAGAAATGAACGGTTAAATTTTTACGATTGTTATGTACAATTTACGAAAATCACTGTAGCATGTTACTGTTCATGAAAGGTATATTTTCTTAAATTGATTATAACGAGCATAATTCAATAATATATGATCGTATTTTCTTAATATAATTTCAAATGTTTTGTTATTTTGTAAGAAAATCGTTTGAAAAGTTAATGTGACATCTCAGATTCGTATCCGGGTCGGGTACTGGTTAGGGTGTTACAGGGAGGGAGAGGGAAGACGCGGGGTGGGGCGTTTGAGTTTTTTAAATTTTTTTCTTTTAAAAAATATTTTTATTTTTAAAAAATTTTAAAAATATAATGGTAGACACTTAAAATTGTAATGGAGAAAACTATAAACACTTAAAAGTGTAACGGAAAAAAAATTATGCACCTATTATTAACAAAAAAAATATTAGGCATCATATCGTATTTGGAGGTATAATTTAAGCATGTTAAGCTTAAAATAAATCTTGAAATTAAATTTAAATATTAATAAAATATTATAAAAGCAGATACGATACCCGACCAAATGCATCCTAAAAATATAATCACTAAAAAGAAAGGTCGCAATCCAGATGTACTTAATTGTGTTGTTGGTGTTTCTTTTTCTTTGTTTGTGCTATTTTACTCCTTAGAGAGAGATCCCGTGGCCAATCAGTCGTCTTTCTTTTAAAAGACCGTACTGCGAGACAAGAGAGTTGAGTAAAATAATGTTATGATTTAAACTTTAGGGTTTATGAATTATAATTTTATATTTTAAAATTAAACCATATAAATTATGTAATAGATAATATATATAGATATATATTTATACAAATTAATTTATTTTAATTTTATTTATTTAAATTTTTGTATTTTCAATAACTCTATATATGTGTATTTGAACTCAAAATCTATAAAGATATTAATTACCTCTTTAATCACTAAAATTTGTTGGTTTGTATTTCTCACTCTATTTTTAGGAAAAATTACAAACTTAGTAACTAAACTTTATTCTCTCTTATTTCACTCACTGCACTTTAAATCTTTTTAATTTTCTTACTGAATTTTAATGTATTAGATTTTTTTTGTCATTCAACCGTTAAATAGTTAACGACATTAAAATGGGTTTTTATATAGATACAAAAAGACAATGTTTTGGTAAATTTTTTTTAAAAAAAAATATCATTTTAACGTCATTAACTATTTAACGGTAGAGTGACCTAAATAAGAGAGAGAATAAAGTTCAGTAACAAAAAAACCGACGTATTAAGTAATAATTAACCCCTATTTTATTGTGCATATGATAAATTATTTATATTTATTCAAGAGAATAAATCACACAATAATATCTTTTAAAAAAGCTTTAAACAACAAATACAGATAATTAAACCTAACACCTCTTAGTTCTCTGTACCTAAAAGTGCACAAAAAAGAGACCACGATGGGCTGAAGAACAGCAGCCAGTCACCCACAGCATCAAAGGCAGAGACATCCCACTTTCCTTGTGACTGCTCCTCTAATTAAGTAATAATTAATCTGTACAAAACAAGGGATTTCACCTAATCACTTAATAATCTATTCTCTTTTCTTTTCTTTTTTGTTTATTTTTATTCAATCTTGTCATAATACGGCTCCAGGTAATTTACTACTGTATGTATCCCCATATATTCTTCAAGTAATCTTCAAGCAACGCTGATGATGCTGCTGTTATCCCCGCTTGACATGGCCTGAAAACTAGACGAGTGTGCCGCCGACGTCGGCGGCTGCTCATCGGAGGAGGAGGGTGTCGAGAGTTTCAATGAAAGCGGTGAAGGGTCAAGTTGGATCTTCTGGTTTAAATTAAGATCGGGCATTTTTGATGATGGAGGAAGTGGTAGAATCGGCACCGGACGGTTAAGGTTCGGGGACGTTTTCGCCGCCGGGATCGGCCCTAGCTTGAGATTCTGCATAGATTTATTTTCGCCTGTGAATTTTGAAACTACCGGAGTAGTGCTTAGACTCACCGGAAACATTGACATTGGAAAACCACTCATCTGCGGTGGCACCGGAATGTTTTCTCGGTGGACTACTTCATCTTCTTCCAAAATGGTTATTTTTATGAACTGCACAATTCAGACCAACAAAAAAAACAAACATAAATAAATAATTCCATATTAGGAAGACATGATGCACGAAGTTCACGTACACGTACGGAATCAGTTGTAATATCAAAAAGACTAGATCTCCGACGGCGGCGATTATGGTTATTTCGCCGGAGAAAGTACTTTTGTGCATGACTGGCCACCTGAGTTGGTGTACGTGTCTTCACGAAGTTTCTTGAAATCCCTCTCCAGTCTCCTTTCCCTACCTTCTGTAACCCAAGTAAGAACAATCTATGCTCCTCCTCCGTCCACGGAACACCTGCAAACAAAATTTGCATTGAAAAATAAACCCAACATGAATCATAAAACGAACATAAAGAATAATAAAATAAACCTCTCTTTCGTTCACGGTATCTTCCCGATGCATGAACGACGTGGTCGGAGGCATATCCGGCATCGGCGTTAGAATCCTGAGGAGTCTGATCGAACTGAGACAGATTATTCATGCTAACACTTTTCCTAAACGATCCTTCCGTCACTCGAACACCGAATAACATGATACCCTTCTCTCCACCACCGCCGCCAACAACCCGAGACATGATGCCCCAAGTGGAATGAAGAAGAAGACGGAAGAAGATATACAACAAAAGAGTGGAGTGGAATTAGGGGAGTGTTTTCAGTTCATGAAAGAGGGGATAAAGGGTGGAGCATGGAGAAGAAGAAATAAGGACCTGTCCAACAAGGAGTAGTTATTCAAAGCAACATCTGCTGCCCATTTTAAGTGTTGCCCAATGATCATGAATCACGACCATCCAATGTCCCTAGCCCCCCTTTAACGATATAAACAAGGCCAAGTGTTATAATAATACCCAATAGACCAGATTTCTCGTGTGTCTCCTAACATTGATAGTTACGTTTTGGGACATGTATGTTAATATATTAACATTTTTTATTACGGTAATGATTATAAGATAATATATGTTTAGATCGTAAAATTTATTGGTGAATAGGATATTAATTAAAACCACGACGGAAAACGGGCATTGGTTTAATCAACTGTGGGTGACCATTGGTTTTGGATCCAATTATAAATTATATGATATTTTAAGAAATGTGTGCATATAAATAACAAAGATGCGTTAAAGGACAAAACTATATGATATGAGAAATATTAAAATAGAACTAAATCCATGATAAAAAAAAAAGGGTATGGTGGAAGAAGTGAGCGTCTCCCTACCGTCGAATTGGCATATTCGGTGATGTGTACAGAAAGATTTGGTTGTCTACTCTCTTATGCCCTTTCCTTCCCCCATTTCTTTACTTAATATCGTGGTGGAGGATAACAAAACATGGACCCCACTAATCACCCACACTTATATATATATATAAATCATTATATAATTAAAAAATAATTTCAAACTTTTAATATATCATCACTTAATGTACTGATATAATATCATCAATAAATAAAATATGAGATTGTATTAAAATATTTTAATTCTCGTAAACAGTTTGATATTATTTAAATAAAGTCTAAAGTTTGAGTTTTTGTATATATAAAAAATATATACCGATCAAGAGACTCATTAAAATCAAATTTACAAAGTAAATAGGTCCGAATTAATTAAAATGAACCATTAAAAAAAAAAGTAAAAGATGGATGATTGGAGTGTGCTTTGATAATTGGAGATTCGGTTGGGCCCATTTATCCCCTCGTCTTTCCGGGACATCCATTAAATAGTGTAGTGACTGGTTTACGACTTTCACGTATGGTGGGAGCACGTGTTTTATTATTAGAATCCTTGTTCTCTTTCACCTGCTATTCATCATTTTAAATTTTTTAATGCTTCCTACATATTTTAATGTAACGTCCTCGCCCTTGTATCTTTCTTTTCGTTTGGTCTTGTTGGCTTGCATTGGATGTATAATTATGACAAAAAGGGTTAGTACACAAATGGTACTTCAATTATAGGATAATATTTTGTTGACTTCCTAGAATGTTAAAAGTCACATATTGGTCTCTAGGCTATAGGACGTTGTTTTGTTGAGTCATCCGACTATTAAAAATTACAAAATGACCATTTATTAATAATTTAATATCGTCTTAGTTAGACGTTAATATACTGACTGAGATGTGATAGTCGTTTGATATTTTGGGATAAGATTTTATTATATCTCAATAAGCAGGTTAACGTCCAACTCAAATTGTCATCAATTTTTTAACGAAAAAAGACGAGTTTGAAACATATGAATAATCATGAAGTCATTTTGCAACTTTTAGTAGTCGGGAGATTCAACAAAGTGAAATCCTATAATCTATGGTATATTTTATAAATTTTAATAGTCGAATGACCAACCAAATAATGTTTTATAGTCGAAATATCATTTGGTACTTTACTCTAAAAATGTATACAGTATAGTATTGTATTATGGATTAATATTTTGGTAAAATATTATTAATAATTCCACAAATATTTTTTATGGTTATGGGTACTTTTACTTTGATTTTGTTGATAAAGATTAAGGTCTTGAGAATGTACTCTAATATTAAGTATAAATTTATGTATAATTAAATATTTACAAATATAATTGTAAACTAAAATATAATTAAGACATTTTCCTATAATCATTAATACAAAAATTAGCTACCTAGATCACACAAAGACAAAAGAATGAAAGGTTAAAAAACTAACCAAAAAGTTCAAACAAAATAAATATACGAACAAATTTGATTATATCTGCAAACAAACTATAAAAGGGGAAGAAGCTACTAAAAGATCATCGACAAATCGCAAATCAAAGTCGAGCGACATGAGAAAACTATCAACGAAAACAAAACGCGTAGCTAAATCAATATGATGGTCCAAAGCATAGAAGATCAGCATGATAGTAAATAAGCATCATCTTGATGAATTGTAACGATGTCAAATCCAACCCTAAGAAAAGAGATAAACGAAAAAACAGCCAAACGACCAAAAACTACCATCATCGATCAATAATTCTTTACTTACGTTAAAAGAAAATAAAAATATCAGGATCACCATTTAACTCGTCATATATTTTACGTTGATCAGAAAAATATTTTACGTTGATCAATCAATTTTCTTTCGACCAAACACTAGAAAATGAGGAAAATATTTTTCAAAAAAAATGTTTACGTTAAACAAACGGAGCTTACTTTTTCTATTGGAAAAGCATTTCGAGCTCTTTCCTTGTTTAAGAAGAGACGAATGAATTTGAACCGTTGTTTTAGTGCATGCAAGCTTCCAATGAACAAAACTGAAGTGGGATGACATAAGGACATAAATAACGTGGCAGATACAAGCATTATTTAGGGTTTTATTTTAAAATCTAAATTTCTTCGATTAATTATTTATTTTACTGATTATGTTTACGTTAAAATTTTATTCGTATCGATCCACGAGTAACAACTTTATGTTATTAATATATATAGGATCATCAACAGAATTATTTCTGGATCCGTCGTTCGAATATAATACGAGCCATACAAGAAGTTATGTACCCTTAAATGCTAAGCAATGATGATCAAATGTGGATGGTTGGTTTGTCCTTTTGACTTGGCATGAGATATTCATGGAATGGACGCACACCAAGCATTGAAAGTGAAAGGGAAGAAAGAGGAAGGTTCATTAGCAATATTCAAATTATAGTTTGAAAAGCATATTATAATCAGTGGGCTGCTTTTGGTGCTTTAGAGCAAGCAAAGAATCCATATGTTATTTGCTTTCACATCACTGTGCGGTGACAAATGGAAAAACATGAGAAAATTTTACTACGTGGACGATAAATATACAACAAGATCATTATTAATAAGGGTAAACTACTCGAATGATCACCTAGTTATAGGGTTAGTGTTGATATCAGTATAATTTTAAAAATTTTAATCACTATGGTCACTTAATTATTTAATTGGTTTCGATATAGCCACCTAATGTTAACATTTAACGAAAGTGCTTACGTAACAGTTAATAAAATTAGTATAATTACGTATTTGATCCTCAATACTTGTACATTCAATCAATATGGTCATAATTTTAATTTAATAAATTAACTCTCCAATCCGGACGTAGCATGTGTCAGCACCTAATTGGATAGAAAATAAATTGGAGATAATATGCATTCGTAGAGGCTTGAATCTAGGACTCTTGATTAGAGAGGGGACATCCAAACCATTGGGTCAAATGCTTCATTTGGTTAAGTAATGTAACGAACTCTATCTATCTTATACTATTATTAATGATAGAAAAAAAATGAAGAAATAAAATAATTCAAATGAGGGTTAACCTAGGTCAATTATAAAATATAAGAGCACCTAAACTAATTAAACAAATATGATATTTTTTATAATTAAATAGGATTTATATATTATAAACCGTATTTAATACAAGATTTAAAATTAAAAATAAATTTATTATTTTTTAATTTAAATTCAATTTTATATTAAAATTATTATTTTTTAATTTCTAAATTAAATTCGGTATTTTTTCATATTTATATTTCTAAAAATAAATATAAAACTATAAAAATAAGTATGAAAACATTGCATTTAGTTTAAAACTATAAAAAATAATAAAATTATTTTTAATTTTAAATCTTGTATTAAATACAATTTATAATATATAAATCCTATTTAATTATAAAATATATCATATTTGTTTAATTAATTTTGGTGCTCTTATATTTTATAATGGCTTAGGTTCGAATTCTTATTTGAATGATTTTATTTCTTTATTTTTCTATCGTTAACACGTGTCAACTCATGATTGAAGATTTGATTTATTAAATTAGATTAAAATTAAGACCAAATTGATTGAATGTACAAATATTGAGGATTAAATACGTAATTATATTAATTTTAACTACCACGTAAACACTTACATTGGATGTTAACGAGAAATAGCTATATTGAAACTAATTATATAGTTAAATGATCATATTGACAAAATTTTGAAAATGACGATCGTATCAACACCAATTCTATAGTTAGGTTGTCATTCACATAGTTTTTCTCATTATTTATGGTTATCAGAACCGAACCGAATTCAATTTTAAGAAGGTTGTGATAGTTCATCTCGTTCTTACTAGTACCGAATTATAGAAATGAATTGTGAAAGAAGCAAAAACTGTAAATTTTGTGATGATGAATTTTGTGACCGTAATTTCATCATCACAAAATTTACAGCTCTGAAAGAACCCTATGCTAAACTGTGATCCCAATATCTATTAAAAAAATGAAAACAATGGATTTTTGCTGGTGTAATTACTCTGTTTTACCCAAGTTTGGTATTGTTACAAAACCGGCTTCTCCCAAGGCAAGGCACCTGTGGCGGGATCAGCTAAGTTTGCCAAGACAAAGTCCCTCAGACCGGTGTCCCATACTTCACAAAACTGTAATTGCCAATTCGGTGGTTCAATGGCCTAGTTCCGAGCCCGGGCGCCCGATCTTTCGACCCTTGGTTCTGGTTTTCTTGCCAGTCGACGACATAGGTCGCCACCCTTCTGAAGAACTTGGTTCTGAATGTGCCCCAAACCTGGTACTTGTAGTGGTTTATAATCATGGAAATTTCGTGCACATTCATATATTTGAACCCTTTCCTCAGCTAGAAATGGTGCACCACATTGAGAAGTGTCTCGTTGAGCAAATCGGGTCGTACGATCGACTTTTGCCGCTCGAGACTTTGGAGCCGGCAAGTGTAGCCCACGGTTACTCCTTGTGATGGAGGTGAAGTCAATCCAGATGGCCCAAAACTGTGGTAAACTGTTCTTATTTCTGCAATGGTGGTTGAGGAA